GGTCCTTGGAGAGGGACATCATGCTTGGGAGGGTGGAGAGACAGTGCAGGAGGGGAAGGCCCTCTATGAGGTGGATTGATTCAGTGACTGGGGTAATCAGGATGTGGGTGTATCAGAGACAGTGCAATTGGCACAGGTCAGAGCAGAGTTTAGGGCTGTTGTACATAGGGTCGCTATGAGTCGCAAGTGACTCGACGGCACATAACAACAACAATAGCTATTACACAGAAGAAAGATGGGCAATCTCCTCCTATGTGATTTACCACCTCTGAAAACCTGCTGGAGGGTCAGCTATGGGTCAGTTCCAACTTGACGGTATATGAAAATAAGCAACAAGTCACTTCCAAGGGCACGCTGGTGGCTTAGCAGTAAGTAGCTGGCTGACAACTCAAAGGTATAATGGTTCAAATCCATCAGCTGTTACATGGGAGAAAACAGGGAAACCTCCTCCCACGTGATTTACTGCATCTGAAAACCTGCTAGAGGGTCAGCAATGGGTAAGTTCCCACCTGATGCTACACGACACCACCATCCACTCCTTACTGGACATTGCTGTCTCCTTCATGTGTTTATTGGACTCTCTACTCTCCTCCCCTCCTGGACTTCTGACCACTGCAGAACAATTCCTTGAGGAGAGGCCTCACCCTTGCTTTTTGGAATCACGGTTTTATAGCACCACTGTCCTTGACTTGGTTGTACAGCGTTCTTTGCCCTGGCTGCACTGTGTGGGTGAGTTCTCACATACAGCCGTGCTGACACTCTGCTGTGTGACTGTCCAGTTTCTTGGGCCACTCGCCTGCTGTGGACAATGTGGCAGTGACCCAAGTGTGCACTGCCTGCCGTCAGCACCGTGTCAGCTCCTTCTCAGGAAGAGCGAAGCTGTACAGGGACTGGGGACCCAGCTGAGTTGAGGCACTGTAGCTGCAGCAAAGCCAGTGCCTTGAAGCGGATGTAGCCTCTGTTCCCTGGGAAAACCTGACACTTTCCACAGTCCCGAGGAAGCCTGTCCAGGCTGACTGCCTTCTAAGTAACCTGAAGATCTGACACTTCTTGTATGTGCTGGGCTGTGACTGGCCTCCTACATATGCATCTTAGAGTGACTGGCTGATATTTTATGCAAATGAGTTGCTCCAGCCACTATGCAAATGCACAGGAAGGGGAAGGTCTGTTTGCTGCAAGAGCTGAGAGCTGCCCTGCCTGTGGGAACCATCTGCAACACCTGTGTTTACCTCCTCACTACACCACTTCCGGTAAGCACCAGGGCAAGGGGTTACAGAACTGGAGGAACAGGCCATGGAGGGGCCATGCATGGGGCCAGGACTAGGAAGGGGGTGGAGGCCCCAGCACCTCCTTTTGGTCTCTCAGGTTCCACAGTGCTCACAACCTTGCAGGACCCAGGTCTGGGCGACTAGCACACAACTATCACCTGTGGCAGGGCTTCCAGCACGAACAATGACTCCAGACCCAGGATGTCCACAGGTGACCCCTCCCCTCTCCTCCACCATGGGATGGGCAGCCAGGCCTGGGTGTTTGCTCCCCTTGGGTCAGGGCGTCTGGGGATGAGACGCACCCTCGCAGGGCGGAGCGGCCCAGGGACCTCCACAGACTCACTTGGTGTAGGAGGAATCTCCAAGGCCCAGGACGGCAAAGTCCATCTGGCAGAGAGCGGTCAACGGCAGCTTCTTCCGGAATATGAACCTCCAGAAGCTCTACAACAAGAAAGCAAACTTGGTGAGTTGATGTGGCCACTGGACCTGCTCCCAGCACTGTGGGGACCTGGTCTTGAGCAGGTGATTGGGTGTGCCTGGTCCCCAGGTGCCACGCCTGGCCCTGAGAGCCTGTCTTCCAAGGACAACTGGAACGGTGGTGACAAAGAAAACAAGAAAGTGATGCCAGGCCACCGCCACTGAGAATGGCTGTAGGAAAGGATCTGGCACACCCCACCGGGGATGAGGAAGACACACATTGCAGGGCTTGGCCTTATCCTGACGCCCTTCAGTAAGGGACGTCCTTCCAGGTGTCTGAGGTTTGCTTCCTAATGCAAACCACTCCTGATCACAGACCCACCCACTCTGTCCTACCCAGTCAAACTGTAGACCCTAGCCCCCAAAGTCAGAGCCTTTGTCTGCACACCTGCCCTGTACCCATGGGGCACTGGGGCCCTGCCTCACCGGGAAGGCTCACCATCCATCTTCCCTGAGCCCATTCCTCAGCCCAGCCCTGCTGCTGGTGGACAATACCCCCTTACACAGACCTTGAGGTCTGAGCTGTTCCCTCTTCCCAAGCTTTCCATCCTGCTGCCAGCCGGGGCAAAGCTGGTGCTGACAATGCTCCCACCTTGGGTCTTATCTTAGGGCTGTCCTGCACTTACTTGTCCCTGTTCAGCTGGGTGAGGGTCACCTTTTTCATGCTGGTAGCCCCCGACATCCAGCCCAGCTCAGACTTGGCCCCCTTCCTCCCTCACGTGCAGCAGAGGACCCCACCTTTCACTCTCCACCCCTTTCTCACCTTACTTCTCTCCTGTGGAGGACACCCCTATGTGGCCTCATCCCTGGGACTGATCCAATTTGGGACAGTTTTTGTCTGTTAGGTTAAGAAAACAGTATTCATGCAGGATTTATCTTAGTCAACCTCTCAAGATGTGGAATAGATGAAGCAAAGAGAAGGTGGGAAGGTGCCATGCCGCACGCACACCAGACTCACGGAGAAGATAGCGGGACGAGCCCTTTCCTCACAACTGCCACCCTGAACCCCAACTTTCAGTCCCCTAAATAGTGAGAAAGCACATTTTCCTGATGAAGTGTCCACGTGTGATGCTTGTGTGACAATAGGGCTCATACCCTAAAGGCCCAGGGCCGCAGCTTCACGGTTCTCTCTCCATCTTTAATCCATCACTCACCTGCACCCAAGTCTCTCCCATCTCGTCAACGCTGTGCCTCCCTGACAGAGTTTAGACAAAATACCATGAAACAATCTGATCGTTCACCTCTCCTTCCTCTGAGCCCAGGGTACCTGTAGCTGCTCCTTGCAGGAAGATACTGAGGCTGCCCTGCTCAAGGCTGCCATGTCTCCTGACAGACAAAGCAGCTGGCCTCCTGGGCTCCGGGCACTGTGTACCAGCCTGCTGCCCCTGACCCTGCATGTTCCCTTCCTGCTGTCTGGCCCCTTTCAAGTCCCCATCACAGGCTTCCTCTGCCCTCCCACACCCTGACAGTTAAGGACGACTGTCCTGGGGATAATTTTATGTAGATGCTGTTGAGTCGAGCACCACTCATAGTCATTGTATAAACAACAGATATGAACTATGCCCTATGCTGTGCCAACCTCACAATCTCTGACACACTTGAGCCCACTGCTGCAGTCACTGTGTCAATCTACCTGGTTGAAGGTCTTCCTCTCCTTCGCCATACCCCCACCTTTCCAAGCATGATGTGCTTCTCCAAGGAATAGCCTTTCCCAGCAACATGGTCAAAGCATGCTAGACCAAACTTCACCATCTTTGCTTCCAAGGAGCACTCTATCTTCACTTTCTCCAGGACACATCTGCTTGTTTTTCTGGCAGCCCATGGAATACTCTGCACTCTCCTCCAACACAACTCAAAGCATCAAGTTGGCGAGCTCTGGTGGCCTAGTGGCAAGAAGCTGCATTGCAATCCCAGAGGTGCGCGGTTCAAATCCACCAGATGCTCTGCTGAAGAAGGAGGAACAATCTCCTCCTGTACCAGTCAGATCTTATTTGACAGTACACACGTTAAAAAAAAAAACACAAAAAAGCATCAAGTTTTCTCCTGTCAACCTTAGCCACTGTCCAACTCTAAGATGCCCAGCAGATGATTGAAACAATTCAGACCGTGCTGAATCAGGTGCACCTTAGCTCTCAAACTAACATCACTGCTCCTTCATAATTTGGAAAGGACCCTGACTGCAGACTTTCCCAGTGCAGTACGTCTTCTGATTGTTGGGCCAAGTGTGTTTATTGTGGATATAAAATAAAGTCATCAGCAGTTTCAATCTTTTTTGCATCTATCATGTCACCTATTGGCCCAGTGGTGAGAATTTGTCTTTTCCTGACTTTGAGATATGATCCATATTGAAGGCTGCAATATTTAATTTCTGCAGCAAATGTTTTACGTCCTCCCGCCTTTTTCACACCTCACCTTCCTGAGACCTTCTCAGCCACTCAGACTTTTCCTCCCATCTGTCTATTATGTAACCCCAACAATGGACCCCTGCCCAGAATTCTCATCATATCAGGACCTCTACTGTGAGTGTCCTCCAGACTTGGCCCACCTGACCTTTGTTTTCTGTGCATGGAGCAGCTTTCCATCCTAGTCTCAAGACTCTCTTTCATCACCTCCCATATCCACACATGCTGTGACGCTGCTTTCTTCTCATCTCTTCAGTGTGCCCACCATCCTCTGACCCAGCACTATTTTGGGCTGCAAGTGTTGTCCACTCTTGCCTGGCTTTGTTCTCCCTGACACCGTCCTCCCCAGGAGACAGGCTTGGCCATATCACTTCCCTGGTCCTGGCTCTGGGGACTTGGCCAGCTCCCTGCCTCTCTTCTCCACTCACTGCTGGACGTGTTGTGACTCAGGCACAGGGACATTTTCTCATAGACTGTAGTTTCTCCCCTGCTCAACCTATGTCTCTTCCTTGGTACCGGGCTAGACACACCGCCCTGCATGACATCTTTCTTCCAGAAATCTCTCCCTGAGCCCAAGACTGGGTAGGATACTCCAAACCAGTGATCCCATAACATTTGGAACTCTTCTGCGGCGTGGACCTCGAACCGCCAAACTTGGCGCTTCTGCTTTGTTGTCAGCTGAACAAAAAACACAGAAGCTATAACCTGCTGTCACTGCATCGACTGCAGTTCACAGCCTCCTACAGCACAGAGCAGACTCGCCTTACCGCAGCCTCAATGCTGCCATCTTTCTTAAAACACTGTCACTTCTTTCTCCCAGGGAGTGGGTGGTGGGTGCGAACTGCTGACCCTCTGGTTAACAGACACTTAGCCCCTCAGCCACCAGGGCCCTTTGGGAATTCCAGGTGGGGAGAAATGTGCTGCTGTGTTCACAGCTGGAGGAGGGTTATGTGCGCAACAGATGTTCAAAGCACTATAGAGGCCTCTGGAAGGTCAGTCTAGAAACACACATAACACAGGCTAAACTGTGTAAATGAAAACCAACCCACCCACTGCCCTCAAGTCAATCCTGATCCTGAGCGACCTGACAGGGTGGAACAAATCTATACTGTAGGCTTTCTGAGGCTGCGTCTTTATGGTGGCCTTGTGGGTTAAGGAGCTGCACAGCCAACCCAAAGGCAGGTGGTTCAAAACCACCAGCTGCTCCTCGGGAGAAAGATGGGCAATCTCCTCCTGTTTGATTTGCAGCCTCTGAAAATCTGCTGGAGAGTGGGCTTATGAGTTGGTTCTGACTAGATCGCACCTAACAGGAACAAAACGATAATAATAATAATTCACTATCATCATCTTCTTTATGGAAGAATGCTGCCACATCTTTCCCCTGCAGGTGTCTGACAAGCAGCTGTGCTTATATCACCAGCGCTCCTTGGGCTCACACACCCTAAAACACCCGTGATTTGTGTCGGAGAGCAAGGCGATATGGAAGCCCGAGAGACAATCATCAAGGGAGACAGAGTCCCCAGCTCCACTGAAAAAGGAACCTCAAGAAAAACAGATGCGTGTGAGCTTGTAGAAGATCACAGACTCTCAGGACAATGGCCAGCGCGGGAGGGCGGCGGTGGGCAACTGCCCTTCTGGGAAGTAGCCTCATCAGCTCAGCCTTACCTTCATGTTGTCAGGGGGGTCTCCTTGGCCTGCAGTTGCACAAACAAATATCACCAAGGGCTCGTTAATCAGATTCACCTCAACAAAAAGACAGACACATAAGACCTCAGGCTAGAAGTCCAGGTCGCCACCCACCCCTGACTCCAGAGTCGGAGAGACCCAACGGAGCACTCCGAATCGTCCAAGAAAAAATAGCACCGTCTCCTCGCCTTCAGGCGGCACCCAGCCACCTTGACGCGCCCCCCAAGTGCTAAGCTGAAGCCCTCCTCCCTCGTCGCCCCTTCCCCTAAAACTGCTAGACTCCAAGGGCCTGCTTTCAGACGCACACGACGCCTTGGAGTCTGGGGCCTGGAGGGGGCTCGCCCAGGCTTCCAATGGCCTCACCACCGGGTAGGCGTCCAGGGCCAGGACTCGGCAGCCCAGCCGCCGGCGCCGGGCCTCGCGGCCCAGTCGCTCAGCCACATCTTCAGCTGTGCCCGTCTGGCTGCCGAAGAGCACCAGAAGCCGCAGGCTCGACATCGCGAGCGGCCGGCGGCCTCCAGGTGAAGACCCACGGCCCACGAGCCAGCGCCACGCCGCCAGCTGTCAGCGACCGGCCCGACTTCCGCCTTCCGCCGGAAGTGACGCCATC